TAAGGCATAAGGAACCTATCTTAATTTTCAGTAATTTAGATAGGCTAGCAAGCTTTCTAGAAAACATAATAGAAATATTTATTTAATTGTGAATTTTGACTGCAAGATAAAATGTAAAAAATGATATTAGAATGGAAAGATACAAGTGAAGTGTAGCTACCTGCAGAAGATATTTTCCTCTTGGAGACATCTTGGGCACAACTTGCTGCCAGTTGGGGTTTCGGGGGTAAGTGTGAAATACCTAAAAAAATATGCGAATTAACTCAAAAATGTACAGTTACATAATCCAATATTAAAATATGCACCGGGATTGTGTAATTTCAAAATTAAATTATGTACCTTGTATTCTGGAAGTTCCGTTACACCAGGCCAATTTGATTCATTCGGAGTACCAAGCAACCTATTAAAAATAACACTTTTGAACCAATGCAATACACAATCCAGAGTGAAATGTGCATGTAAGCTAAAATAATGAAGCAAATACTCACTTGAATATACGTCGTAACTGATCGTCTACATCGAAGCCGGGGAAAAGAGGCCTTCCAGCATTGGACATCTCTGCAAAAATGCATCCGGCTGACCACATATCAATTGAGGTGGTATAGATTTTTGCACCAAAAAGTACATCCGGAGGACGATACCACAAAGTAACAACCTAAAATAAGATTAAAACTTTTGATAGAGTTTGTATCCAAAGTTTATGATAAATAACTGAACTACTTAGAAGCTATGCCCTCATGCATATATATATATATATATAGGAAGAGAGAGGTAGCCAATGAAAATGCGTTGCTATATTTATTTTTAAATATTGAATGAATATTTTGAAAGTCAGAATTATTGTTCTACTTGTCATAAATGATAAATTCACAGGACAAATGACACCTGATCTGACTCAGGTTTGGTGGAGATGGATCTACTTCAAAGATTGAATTAAGATAACCATATTTCCATTATAGGTATTAATTTAATGTGTCAAGATAAAATGGTGAATTTAAATTAAATGCATAAAGGAATTATCGAATATGTCATATTTATAAAACACCATACTAAAAAGATGACTTTGGACAGACAAATGAGGTAAACTCATAGTCACAAATGGTCGCAACTTCTTATAACAAAAGGAAAAATATTATAATAACACAAAGTTTGAAAATGAACCTCGGCAGAATATTGTCGGACTGGAATACCGTAAGCGCGAGCAAGCCCAAAATCAGC